ATAAATAATTTAATTATAAATTTAATAATTTCAAAGGAAAATATATATTTCAAAAAGCAGTATCTTTTAGTAATTAAAAAATATACTACTTTTAAAAAGAAGGTTAATAACACTTAAAAATGTTTAAATAAACTTTACTAAATACAAAGATTAATGTATAAAAACAAAACAGTGGCAGTCTTAAAGGCTAAAGTCTGAAAGCAATGACAACACCTGATTGATAGGGGACTAGGACAAGGAAGAAAAAAATTGCACTATCAGTTTTCATTGAAGTAAACCTGAAGAAAGGCACAAAATAAATTGAAAATTTTATTATTCTAAAATTGATGGGCAAATTTGAGATCATATGCATGCTTACTTGAATAAAAAAAATATTGAATAATGGAGTTTGCACTTAAAAATTGTGAAATTTTGTATGGAGGATTTTCCAAATTCTCATACTGTGCTAGAGTGAAATCGGAAACTGTGTTATATGAGGGATTTTGCTAATTTTTCAACCATGTTGTTGAAGTGATGTAACGTATATAAAGAATATTATATAGTAAATTGCAACAACAAGGATGTGGATAGTATTGTGAAGAGACAGGGTTGGACTGCCAAAGATCCAAAAATGATCAGGGACAGAGTCTCCTGTATACATATGTGTATGTATATACTTGGTAGGATCCGAAAGTTTGAGGACTTTTAAAACACTTATAAAACAAAATTGAAAGAAAAGATCAACTGAAGTGAATGATGGATGAAAAAATGGAAGCAAAGTATTTGTTAAACGTTTGCAATTTTATATTTTGTTTATACTTTTAAGTGTAAAATAATTAAATGTAATACCGTTGGCCATGATTTATATTTTATATTTACTTAAACATGTACAGTGGAAGACCGGTTAACGAATGTCCTTTTTAACAACCAAATTGGTTAACAAACTTTTATTTTGCAAAAATTTTGTCTCGGATAATGAACAAAACTCGGATAATGAACTTAACGGCTTTTTGTGTCAAATTTATAAGCTTGCTTTCACGAAACTTTCTGAACCCTTACGGCACGTGGAATCATCAATGGCTCCCTCACCATATACAGAACATATTTTTTTTTGTGTCTGCGAAGCATTCTTGCCTTTTAGGAAACAAAAAAGCATAATATGTTGAAAATGCTTCTTATTTTCTGCCATTTGTAATGCTTAACAAAATTTTAAAAACACAACTAAGTATCACAACTTTATTCTCAAATACTAGCTGAGATCCCTTTTGTCAAACAACATCGAAATTTTACACATGTGAAGGAAATAACACTTCAGTGTTGCGTTTTTAGCCAGCTGGTGCTAAAAACGGGACAAACTTTTGCATCAACCCAATACAGTGATACCTCGACTTACGCAAACCCGGAGTTATGCGATTTTCAAATCTTGTCGATTCATCTTTTGTTTGAGCACCAGGCAACTCTTGATTACTCATTCCCTCCACACTATTGTTCAACTTACATGTTCGGACGGGTCACACGGAATCGACACATATCTACAATTTATCTTGTGTTATTTATTTCTGTGTTTGTTATATCTAGGGAGACTTGAGAGACTCTATATGGTGATTTCTTGTAACAATGAACGAATCAAAAGACGAGATAAGATTAACGAGAACATTTATTAGCTTACATACATCCAACTTGGATTTTATACCCCGACTTACGTGAATTCGACTTACGCGGTTATCGCTCGATCCCACCTATCGCGTAAGTTCGGGGTATTACTGTAGTTTCCAGCTGTTCTGGAACCTCACAAATTTCAGTTGCTCTTAGGCGTGTGCAAGGTAAGCATTGCTTTTTTGAGTGTGCTAAACTTTGTTTTTTAGTTTTGTTATTTATACTGTATATTTAAGCAATATGGCATCGAAGAAAGAGAAAAGTGACAGTGGAAATAGAAAACATTTTAGTGTAGCATTAAAGAAAGAAATTATTGCAAAATACGAGAATGGCATTTGTGTTTCTGACATTGCTAAAGAATATACAGGTAGCCCTCGGTTTACGCCGCAGTTCTGTTTCTACAAAAGCCGGCGCAAATCGAATCGGCGTAAAACGAACCCGTATTTACAGTGAGGTATAGGGTTAGGTTCTACATAAGTGAAAAATAAGCTAATAATTTTGTTTATTAATACAATATAATACAAAATACATGTAAATTTTTAATTTTTAAAATGTATTTTATCATAAAATAAAGTAAAATGTTTTTATTTAAAAATTTTAGTTTCGAATTTCTTACATTTTTCG